TACGCCGTTGCCGGGTTCCTCTTCACTTTCTTCATCATCTCGCTGCTGACACTGATCGCTTATATCCTGGGACAGCCTAGGGGGGTTCTGGTTAGTTTTAAAAGAAAACTTATGGTTTGAGGGTTTACTTTTATAATTTGGATGATGAACAGTATTTTATCACCCTCCATTTTGGTTTCTAGTGTCATCTGCATAATCACTACACGAGGAGTTGATGAAAAGAAAGAGGAGTTTTCTGACTCAATTGTGCTTTAAATTGAGTTCAGTACAGGACACTGATCGCTTATATCCTGGGACAGCCCAGGGGTGTTATGGTTAGTTTAAAAAAAAATTATGGTTTGGGTTTTTTTTTCCATAATTTGGATGATGATCAGTATTTTATCTCCCTCCATTTTGGGTTCTAGTGTCTGCCTAATCACTATATACGAGGATGAGTTGATGAAAAGAAAGAGGAGTTTTCTGACACAAGATTGTGCTTTAAATTGGGTTCAGTACAGGTGGGACCTTGAAATTTGACCTCCCGCAATTCAACCATCCTGTAATTTGATGGACGAATTTGCAGGGAGGTTGATTTGCAATTCGACCGAGTTCAAAGAAACGAGGACCTATTTCAAGTAAAAAAAACTGCTTCATCGATTACTGTAACTGTTGAGGTTAATCTCAATCTTGATTCATTTTCAACTTTTACTTTTGTAAATGCTTGATTATCTCGAAAAATATTCTTGAAAGAGAAATGCATGTGATGCTAGAAATTCTTCAAATTCCTATCAAATTTCTGCCTGATTCTGAAAGTTCCATATGCACGATTTAAGGCAAGACGGGATGAAATTTAGATAAGATAGGCCCACGAACACGTGCGAATACAATTGAAGCATACAGTATAACGAAACACACATTTTCAAACTGAAGTTTGAAGTTTTTTTTTTATTCTACACCACCATTTTGAATGATGATGAACCATCGATTAATTTTTTTCAGGAATCAGTGATTGCTTTCGGCGGAGCATTATTCTTGCTCTACAGCGGAATTGCTCTTTCAATTGCTCTGAGTTCCGTGTCGTCTTTGATCGGGTCGGGAAACCCGTATTGCTCCATGTCCATAGCTACTATCGTATTTACGTTCCTCGGTGCGATTTTGTACATGGCTCACATCGGTTACTTGATACACGAAACTAGGAAAAGGAGGTGAGTTCTTTGGTTTCTCAAATCCCCTTATTACAATGCTCCGGTTTCTCGGACTTTTCTGCGTTATTCAAAGTCAACCTCGCGCACGAATTCACTTGCGGACCGAAGATAACCAGGGGAATTAATTTCTTGAATAATCAACGAATGTGTTCTCGTATACGGTCGAAGCAACTCCTATACTTTTATTTAATACGTCAAATATTCAGGAAACTTCAAACCTTTTTCATGCTGAAACGCAGATTCCTCCGCGTTTCCTCAGCGCAAAATATTGTTTTCAAAGGAATCCCCTGGCAGATGCAGTATAATCTACTGTATTTTGATTAGTAATACACAACAGCGAAATGTGAATAAATTAACTNGCTGAAGAATGTGATAATTGAATAACGGAGACATGAATGTGAAACCCATTTTGCGACTTTTAAGAAATTCTTTAAATCAACAGGACAAAGAAACGTCAAAAACAGTTGCAGCAAAAGCCTAAAAGACCGGGAGAATCCAACAAGTGATTTCCAACGGATAAATTCGTTATTTTTTAAATTTCAGTGTTCTTCGAACATAAAACTTATCACTACTGTATTTCTCTTGAAGAAGGAAAGATGAATGGAATTTTGAAAATTCGGTTTTGGTATCTGGATTTTTGTGCTGTAATCTTGGCAGAAATTGGACCAATTCCAGAAAATCATCCTTTTATGTAGGAATTAAATAATGCCTTGTTTTAATTGAAACAGGGACGAGGTGACATTCACGTTCAACCTTGGGGATATTCTTTCGTCATGAAAAAAAATTCGTCGCTCCTGTTATGTTTAGTGAAATTTTCAACTCTTTCACATTAAGCACATCTTCATTCGCTCAAAATAGCACTAAGACGATATCGGAAATGCAACAAAAAAAAATCTATACCCGGATCTTCGGCTTTTTTTTTTCACTTGAGATCGCTTCTTATGTACACTCGTCTTGCCCAGAGGGAAATCATGTATGAACGTGATGTAGTCGGCATTTTAATGTTTCCTCTGTTCGGAAAAGAAAGACTTCCGCCAATACTATACATATATGTTTTGTTCATTGTATAAAAGAAACAAACAAAAAAACGGAATGGTCGCGGATGTGCAGCATCATTAGCTGGATCGGAGGACGAATTCCCTCAGGTCGTCCCGAGTGCCAATTCATCTCGCGACTGCGTCAATTTTCTTCGAGCAGTTTCTTTGCGAATATCGTTGCCAAACCGGGTGTCTCAAGGTTTCCGAAGAGTTTTTGTGACTTGAAATTTTCAATGGAGTTCAGTTAACTTCGCAGAATCAAGCGAAACATTTTTTTTGCGCGCCATAGAAGGTTTAATATTGCGTTGAACTTGTGTTTCTTCAACAGTTACACGCCTTCATTAAATATAATTCGTTTCGGATGCTACTTTACATGCAGAAATTACGTTAAAAATAACTGGGTAATTTTTAACGTAACTGGTGGGTAACTGGATTATGATATTCAGAAAAATATAATTCCTTCTCATCGTCCGAAAATTAATTTCCAAATCAAGCTTCTCTAAATTGCTGTTCTCTTTTTTAACTTGGAAAATTTTGACACTGAATTGTTGTGAAACGTCCCGAAAAATGTTCTTTCCATATTCAACGCATTTCACACATTTAATTTTAATAATTCACCAATTTTCCACTCCATCTGGAGTTTAGACACGTTCTCAATCGGTTCAATAGCCCCATTTTAGAAGAAGAAGAAAAAATCACTACTAATTGCTTATTTCATTTAAGGGAATAATATCTATCACATTAATCTCTCTAGCTTATGCCAAATATTTAGGATAAATCAAATTTTCAAATCGCCATGATAAAACGGAAAGAAAATCTCAGCTCATTTTCAGGGCATCTTTCAAAAGCAAATGATCTCTTTAACTCTGTCATTTTTCCTCATGCAGTTCCTCTGTAAGCTACACCTGGTTCATGACCGATCAATGGTGACCTGGCTCGGTTGGGATTCAAATTTTCTATCTTATAGTAGGGTCACCGGGGAAATCCCATGATGCACCTGCCGTTCAATCCGAAGGTGGAAAGTTCGAGGGATCTCCTGAGGAATCCCAGCAAATAGATGCTCATGTCGTAGAGAAATTTTTGTCTGGATATGACATAGCATGGAAGTTCTTCCCCCAACTCTGTACTGTACTTATCTGCCTCTTACGATGAAAGATAATCACATATTTCGAGAATGTCATACACATAGCAAAGCGGTTCGTGTGTCAATGTAAAAGTAAAAGCGCTGCTTTGAAAAGAAAAAACCACTTGAATGAGCAGCGTTTGGCCGAAGAAACACTTTTGATGAAAAATATAGATAAAGGATAGATTTGTGGTTGTGGAGGAACTTTTTGAGGGAATATGTTCACCCTTTGAAGTTTTGATCTGGTTTCCGGGATATTGGAAGGCGGACATCCATCTTCCGTGTCTCATTCCTCTTTTTTTGGCAATAAGCAAACGTTAAACAACCTGAAAAAGAGTAAACAAAAAATTTATTGGCCTTCTATTTATCACAGCGTGGAGACATATTTTGTAACTGGGCGGCGACGAATCCTCAAAAATATCTTTACAATATTTGTGTAATCAGAGCTTCAAATCATCGCTATAAAGCATAAGAATGAAGGACTATACGTGCAGATCCAATCATGTAAGATTGTATTTTTAAGAGAACAGCGAGATTATTTACAATTGATTTGATGTGACTCATAAGCTGTGATTCTCGTCCGCTTTTCGACCCTACTAAACTCATCAAATACATTTAGTAACGTTGAATCCGCCAATTCCCAAGATCAGTCAGAATAAGCTGAATTAAGATCG